CTCCTAGGAAACACGTGCTGTCTGCGTCTCAGAGCACGCCTGGAGACCTGTTGTATCTTTCCCCGATTAACAGCGGCTTTCTAAACAGGCTGTGTTAGGTGACATTTTAAAAGTAAAGCATTTAGGGAAAGGAAACTCGCGGTCTTCTTTAGCACTGTAAGTTGAAACTGTGGTGCAAAGTGTAAGAGTTGTGAGGGTGAATTTAGAACCCACGGATGTACCCTACCGTTGCCCTTGCCAGTCAACACTGGGGCAGGTACCGGGTGAGTCACAGCAGCCCCTCTCCCAAGTGCATAGTGTGGAAATGGAGAGCGGCTGCAGACGTCCCATCCACTTACACCATTATCCTGTCATGTTGTACTGTTGCAGGTCACATACTGTCTACCCAGCATTCTAGAAACACGCAGTTCTTAGCGTCCTCCCCATAAGAAGGGAGAGAAGGAGGAACAAGGAAGGCAGGCAGTTATAGCAAGGCTCAAATTATGTGTGTCCACGTGTATGTATGTGTGTGTGTGTCTGTCTGTCTGTGTCGGTGTGGGTTTGTACACATGTATATTTATATATATTTAATATATGTGTTGGTGTAGGTTTGAACAGGTATGAGATAGGAAAAATAGAAAACCATGCATTTGAATAGTAAACACAAAGTGAATTTTCCCACTTTTGAGAGATAGTTGCTGTCTCAGGCACTTTGAATGTTCAGACCTCTCTAAAATATCTGCCTTGTGACTGGGTTCCTGGAAAATCAAAGAACAAGTTAACTGCTTTCTTATTCCGAGAGTGAGGAGCTGGAGCACAGTAGCATTCCAGTCAAAGCAAAGTCAAAGCTGGGCACCGTAGAGCTCTTCTAGGCTCCGCTCTGCCACCCGAATAATACAGACCATCTCATAGGCCAAGGTGGGCTCCACTCCACAGCTGCTGGTCATCCCATGGCACTGGCATTTCAAAAATTTTGGGCTATCCACAGGCTTCCCCTTCACCAATGGTACCAGTTGCCTCCTGGCCTCTCTTTGGGGTCTCTGACTCTGCCCTGTGATGCCCAGCTTCAGCCTCACTCCGTGATCCCGTTAGTCCTGGGGTTTCCCTGCAACTGAAGCTGCACCTTCACCAATAGCCTTTCCTGGCCTCTTACTGTGCCTGGCCTCCACCTTTCTCCAGGACCTCTTCATGTCCCCCCAAAACTAGGACCACATGGGAGATGCTTTTTGCACTTGCAGTTTGGCTGCAAGCACCAGAAGCAGCGTTGGCACCCTTTGGACTGTGTGTGGCACCCTTTGGTCAGCTTCTGTGTGCTGACCCCGAGGAAGCATTTCCCAGAAGAGCATTTTTGCCTCGATGGTGTTGGTGTCATCTTATCCACAGCTGACTGATCTCTCGCTCCAGCAAAGGTTTCACTCCAGCAAAGTGGTTCTGGTCTCTTGTTAATCACAGCTCGTTTCTCAGCTCCAGCTGGCCAGAACCACAGATTCTTTTTTTTTTTTTTTTTTTTTTTTTTTTTTTTT